GGGTAGCTCTGTGCCCTGTCTTTCCTTCAAAATGTAATGGTTGAAGAGACTCCCTCTGTTTGTCCCACACTTTTCTGTCTTATCCTCCACTGTATCTGTCCTTGGGTAGCTGGCACTGGCTGACAGTGCTCTGTGGAGAGGTGTGATAGGGACAGTTATGAAACTGGAACAAGTGAATTCCACATTCCTGTTGGGAAGGAAGATGGATACATTTAGTTTGACTCAGAAAAAGGGTCTTTCATTAGTTACATATATCTAGAATGGATCTAACTTAATTTTAGTGATACCAGGAGAATAAAAGCAGGTAAAGATGGGATGACCTAAATGCACGAGCAAGGAGTGGCTTTATGTTAATTGAGATGAGAACACAGAGTCTAAAATTGTCATGTGAAGGCAGCCTGAATTAATTTTTTGAGAGGAGGTATTAATTATTGAGTTGTGGGCAGAAAAAAATCATTTACTTATTAAAGCTCTGTGTATCTGGAGTTGGTTCTTGGAATGAAGATAATACATGCAGTTGACTTGTTCCATTGGGACTGCACGTAAGGCTTTGATAACCACTGCCTGACAGGATGAGCTGCAGCCATGGTTAAACAGATAGCCCCAAGAACCAGATCAAACTGTATAGCCCAGATTCTCATCTCAGGTACTTATCAACCATATCCCTCTGTGTGGACCAGCCATGCATATTTAAATTCAAGCTTCCAGCTGCTTTGATTAGATGGGAAGGTTCCTCATCCATGGGAAAATATTGTCATGTTTTTCCTGGGTAATTAAAATCAAGTGGTCAGTTTAATGAGGAATGAGATATGACACTCCTTTTAGTTTCAACTGTTCTTATTCAAATATTTGTTCAAATTTTAAAAAATGGGACATGGCTTTTTGTTTTAGAGGAAGAGAGAACTCTGAGGTTTCCAAAAGGACTGCCAATAGTGCCACATTTTCTGGAAATTGGGCCCCTTATAGTTGTCTCTTACAAATATGATCTGATTTTTAAACTATCTTGGCAAGAGGCCATTTGCCATCTTTAATCTGTATATCCTGATATGTAATTTAATCCTGATATGTAATTTAAACACACCCAAACATATGAAGCACTTCAGACAGGCTTTGCAAATGAAACTACAGGTACTGACAATATTTTTGACTCTGAACTGTGTATGCTGGGACAGAAGAACTTAGTAGGTAAAGGGCCATCACCTACAAATACATGTCTGGAAAAAAATATTGAAACTTGATTTTGAAAGACCACCCAAAACTCACCACTTTGTGCAAATTATCTGAATTTACAGCCAAGTGTAACACTGCTACAGACTTCAAGTTCCCTGAGGGTTATATCAGACAAACTCTGTGAGAAAGCTGTTTGTGTTAAAAAAAAAAAAAAAAAAAAAAAAAAATTTTTTAAAAGAGGCATATGTTTTTCTCTCCCTCTTTTTTTTTTTTTTTTTTTGATTATCTGCAAATGATTTGCATCCTAACTATACATTGCAGAATTTCCTTGGTGTAGCAGATTAGTGCACTGCTTCTCTGCAAACAGCACCCATGGAGGAGCCTCAGTCACACACAGGACCCAGCAAACACAAGGGGCTTCAGAGAGGGCATCAGCTGCATTTCACACCAGTGTTGAAAGTGCTGTGGCTTGCACCACAAGAATGGGCTCAGGGAGCACAAAGTGGGTTTCTTTCAGATGAAACAAGTATAGAAGTTGTGTTCTGCAGTCACACCTAATGTATTCAATTTCTTAATGTGCATCAAGTCCATGGGACCTGACTCGAATTAGTTTGAGGTAACCCCCAAAAAGATAGGCATTGTGGACACAAGGTCCTTAGCACCAAATTTTTCTCTGTATCTGTTAATTCCTATGCACCAGCTACTTGCAAATACGGTCTAAGCCAAAGAGGCACATTGAAGGATGCGATAAAAAAAAGTAGCTGAATGAACTATATTTCCACAGGCATGTTATTATTTATCATTTGCACTGAAGCACTATTTAACAACTCTAAATCCCCCCATTGTGCAAGGTGTTAGATACTAACACAGAACAAGAAGATGGTTCCTTCCCCTGAAGAATTAAAACCTGGAAATATTTTGGGATGGAGCTTTACCTCACAATCCAGCCTGACATGTTCCCAGGTGCTGTTCTGGCATGAGAAAGCTGTAAAATCAGTCATGCAACTTAGCTCTGGGAAGGAGGTGGGACCGGGAAGAGGAGTGTAAAATTTCACAATGCTCACTTTTCCTTGTGTCTTCACTGGGTTGAAATGGATGGAAAAAAGCCAATAGCCAGCAGAAAGTGGAGGCTGGGGGAATACAGTACTGAACTGATATCCTGGCGATTTATGACCTTCCTGGGACACTGTGAAGAATAAGTGAGTGACAGATTATCTGCTGACCTGTGGGATAGCTCATTTGCTTTTGTTCAAGCAGCAGTTTTCAGTAGAACTGTAGATCCAATATATTTCTCTGTTGAACTGAGCTACCTTACTGCTAAATAAATATGTCAGTCAGCAATGACACAAGTTAATTTCTCTGGTGGGAGGTGTTTGTCTCACTCCAAAGGAGAGCCTCAGAGGACGCACTGCAGAAGTTAGGAGGCAGGGAATGGGCAAATTAGGGAATGGGCAAAACAGAGAATGAATCAAACTGGAGGAGACATGCTGCAGAGCTACCTGGAGGTATTTGCATTGCACAGATGGACCTGTGATTTCTGACTCTATGTAGTATTTCCTTAACTATTCTTTCCTAAATGTTTGTACAAGATTATGGTTCCTGCACTGAGGTTAGTCCTTCTCTTCTGGGATCTCGTCAAATTTAAAAACTTTACTATACCTTCTCATAAAAAAACCCTCAAAAACACTACAAAGAACAAACCATAAAACTCCTTATATTGTCCCCCTTCACAGACATGTTTGACCTGATCCTTCATTTGCTTACACCTTAATGTTTGTTTTGTGAGATAACCCCTTCTGCATTAGAAGTCTGACCTTTTATAACTGGACTAACATGATGAGGCAGAACTGTCCAGCAGAGGATGGAAGAGGATGTTCTGGCATGCTCTGTCTTAGTGTAACAAGCACTTCCACTGGTTATACTTACATTTTAAATTATTTTTATTTGTACCTTTGGGACTGTAAAGTTAATGTCTGCAGCAGAAATGGGAAGGCTACATGGCGGATAATACTGCTAGTTTTTTTTCAAGAAACAATATTTCAGAAATCACAATTCTACTGGCTTGCTTCAATGTGAATTAACAGTGAATATTCACAGTCAGGCATATTTTGTGGTCACAGACACAAAACATGGGGAGAAAAGCCCTGCACCCCATCTGACCTTGCAAGAGATCCAGTAATAACAACAAGGAAGAGTAAAAAACCATTTCTCTCCCCAGTTGTGATTGCCTCAGTCTTGCCCTCTTAATAAGCATTTAAATAATGTAAATGTAAAGGGTGGTGCAGGAGAGAGAAGGGGGGGCGTGCACACAAACGTTTCTGACTCTTCTTTTTCCCCCGAACACTGATGCCATTGCATAATTATATGGGTTGGCTTGAAAGAATGAAACCCAGTTCAAAATGTATGAGTTCATTTTTATGTTCTACTGAGAAAATTTATTCAGTGTGACTGCTCAGTAGCGAGAGCAGTAAAACACCTTAATCCCTGGTTGAAGAAAGGTAATACCTTGACAGATGTGTGCCTCCTACTTTCCTTGCGGCCATGTTTCAACAACAAACCTTTATTTCTGCTTCTCGGCTGTAGCAGAAAAAAAAAAATGAGCGGAGCAATAAAGCAGTCAGACAAATCTCAGGAGCCAGGCGGCAATGCAATAGTAATGACAGATTTTTAATGTGGCAGGAGAGATTGACAGGAAAATGTCTTCAGAGCAAACGCACGCCAGATGGAATGAAAACGGTTTATTGGAGTATGGAGGTGCTGCTGAACTGAATAGAGGGCGGGTTTAAGGTGGGTGTTTTATCTGCTTCAAGTAAACAACAACAACCAAAAAAACCAAATTCCACTCACCAGGTATTGCCTTAGACCAGTCTCAGCACCAAGGGGATATTTTTTGTTTGTTTGTTTGTTTATTTCTTTTTCTACAGTACTGCACTAGAGAAAAACTTTAAAGTCAAAAGTTCAGTCATTACATGCACTGCACAAAAGGAGAAGGCAAACTGGTTTGGTCTCAGCTTTTTTTTATTGTTTGCCTCTCTTCCCTCCTCCCCACCACCCCTCCCCTTAATCTGAAGGAATTTCTCACTCACTATGAACAGATAAAGATGTTTTGATGTGCTTTTAGATAAATCAGAATGACTTTTTTTTTCAAAAAGAGAATGAGGAAGGAAAAAAAATAATTCCAGCTGATAGAGAAGCTATCAAATCTAGGACAGAAGAAGAAGCCTACACTAAAAAACCTATAAAAGCCCATATAGCTGTTTCTATATCAAGAACAACATCATTGTGTCTTTTTCAACTGAGTAAACTTAACTTGCATGCTCTTAGTAATGATAATAAAGTCAAATTCAGCCCTACATCTCACAAAAAAACATAACTATGAATTATTTCATACCCTCCATACAGAGCAAAGGCAGGAAAACAGCCATAAATGGGAAGAAACAGCACAAAAGAAAGGAAGAAAATACAACTCTAAACTGTGAATCTCCCTGACATCTTTTCATTATCAGCCTAGTCAATGAAGAATGCCACAAAGGAAAGCACGGCATCATATTATTGAAACATGATGGTTTGGGGTTTTTTTGAAGGATACACTTGTACATTCTCTGTGGATAGCTTTTTTATTTAATTATATTTGCCATTATTAACTCTCTGTAATTGTATTTTACATTCAGGGCTTGGATTAAGTGTTTTTCCTGTATCATATACACTTGTATCGCTCTTTTTACAGTTTTTTCAGGGCTTTTTTTCCTTATGCAAACACATCAGAGAGAAAATACTGAGTTACCTCCTTTATTTGTATTATACTTTAAAACAAAACAAACCTTTTTATCTTTGACAACGTGCTTCTTTTTTGCTAAGGAATATTTATTTAGACAGTAAAAAGATGTTATGGTTTTTTCCACTAGTAGAAGCGTATGCACTGAATATGCTCCAATGTAATTTGCAGAAAGTGAGGAAAACACTCTGGAAAAGTAAGCAGGGAGTTTTGCCATGTCGTTTCATCTGATAACCACAATACTACGATAACAAAGCTTTAGGCAATATGCTTAAAACTGACAGGAAAAGTAACAGGCAAAGTCTTATAATGATCCATTTATATTACATATTTTATAAATTTACTGATTGCTCAGAAAATATGTCTCTTTTTTTTTCATGTTTTGTCTTGTTCAGAATCCTGCTATAAAGTTCTATTTATCTCTCCTTTTGTATTAATCCTGACAGAGCTATAAAATTTGCTTGTATGATTCCTATGGTCTTTGGGGTTTTGTTTCAATTTCCTTTGCATTTGGCTATATATTGGCATACAAGCTGTTCCTCACGATGCAAGAGAAAATACTTTTATATTTAAAAAACCTTTAACTGATTAAGTCATTTGTCCATATAAAGAACCACACAATAAGATAACACAGAAAAACAAAGTAATGAAGATCTTGTAAGTGATATTGTGTATACCATTTCCTTACATTCAAATGCAACTTGATTATTAGTGAATGTAACTTTTTTGGGTGGATTGAAGATGTTTTATAAGTCAGTGCTGCAAAGGATATTACATCACTAAGAGCTGTTTTTTAGAAAACAAAAAAAGTCCAACAGAATTTTCAGTTTATTTTAGAATCTATTTTACTAGCTTTAAATACTCTCCAAAATTAAACTCAGAATTAATATTAAAGCAATGTTGAAAATAAAACTTGACACAACAGGCTGTGATGGCTGCCGTTCTGTCCTTAAACCACCTTTTTGCAACACACATAATACAGAATATTAATCAGTGTTTTAAGGCTGTGGCAGTTCCTAGAGACACAATGACAACTTAGGGACAGAACATCCAGCTTAACTGTGAATAGCATTGCCTTATTCTGCACCAGAATCTTCATATCGTTTAAAAATAGATTTTACTGTGTCATCAGCTCCATTCTGGTATCACTAGTAAACTGCACTAGGTATAAAAGCTGCAGAGGAAATTGTACCAGCACAGACACCAAAGTTGCTCTTGTAGTGTGCAATAGCTGGAGTTTTCATTTCACAAGACTGAATACTGACTTTCAACCTCAAAATTTTTTTTATTTCTAAAATCATACCAAGTATGTCAGCATGCTCCCATGCACCCCCGCACTGTGGAATTTTGATAATGTATGTCCTAACCGCTTAATTGATTGATTAGCTTACTGCAGCTTTCTGAGGCACCAAATTTATCTTTAATAGCCGGAGTCAGGCACGGCAGGCAATCGAGGGGGGGGTCCCTTGGCGTCGATTTGCTCTTAACTGGAAAGTCATTACCACTTAATACATGTAGATTGTGTTGAAAGAAAATTATGTGTAATGAAATGAGGGAAAAATTAGTGGAGTGTTATGGGCGAAAGCAGATGTTACGGAGGAATTATGCTAGCAGAGATAATCACCTTCGCTAGCATTGTGTGTGCTGGGGTGTTAACTCAGGGAGAGAGTTGGTAAGAGAGCTAAATAAATGCACTGATTTACACAGATCCACTTTTCAAACTACAGTATATGACTAGTGCACACATCTACAAACACATCCATATATATACACACACATATAGACATGCTCAGGGCTGAACTTTTATATTTCTGAAGCTTTTTTTAGCTATTTTCCAGCTACTCACACTATATTCAGAAGTCCTAGCTGGAAGCACAGGGAAGTAGCTGTCGATTTGCATAGTATTGTGAAGATGAGAATAATATCCAAGGGCAGAAGTACTCATATAAGCATTAAGATGAAACCTTGTATGCTTCAAACTCTGGACAACCTCTCCTGAGAGAAAACTGATGAATTTGAGAGCAGTCTTTGAGGGCAGCACCAGACATTCTCAAAACTATAAAATTGAAATAAATAGCAGATAGTTGCAAAAAAATTATAGAGACATAGTATGTTGTGCCTTTAGTTAAACAGCCTGTAAATAAAGGAGATAGAAGAAAAAAAGAAAAAAGGAAATCTTTCTTTTGATGCAAGTTAGGAATATGTTTTAAGGTAGCAGTTTTGCAGACAGGCAATAATGATAATGCTCAGAATCAGGACAAGGGAGGGAAGAAAGATGTCACAGATTTTATTCTGAATGCATTTTAAAACTCTGTAAATTAATATTTCACCTGTGGGCATCTCCCTGTCTTTTTCCAGCCATGACTGATATATATGCTTGATTATATTTCTTATATTCCAGCATGCAAGGTCACTATTAATTTTTATCTTGGGTTTATCTATTTCATATAACATGTGTTTGGATTTAGAATTATCTCTGCTTTATCACCCATTTCATAATAAAAATGTGGTCTCAGAAAGATATTAGTTTGCAAAATTCACTATCAAAACCATTGACAATTAGAGTTTCCTCATATATCGTTCTGTTCCTTTGCTATTAAATGAGGCTTTTATGAGTATAGTTATTGCTGGTGATAATAATACAAATTTTAAAAATTAAAAAAAAAAAACCAACAACGAAAAACCCTCAAGGTTTTTTATTCCCTGTATTACCATTCAGAGACAGGAGGTTAGCAAAAAGACTGTCAATTTTCTGTCACTATATTAATGAGTTAAAGAAGTGCAGCCAGCCCCTCATGAATCAATTGGAAAACTATGATGAATGTTTCAATAATTAAGAGAATAATTAAATTGCTGAATGTAAGATGGCACTAAATGAAATAGCTTTCGTAACAGCAGCATATTGCTGTTTATAAATCCAAAGAGCCCCCTTTATAAATCCAAAGAGCTGAGTCCGGCTCAGATTTATCTGTGTGTCTTTAACAGGCTGTGGGCCCAATCCTGCAGAAGCCCACCCTGCAGCCAATGTGCCCCCTGCCCCAGCCCTGCTTGAGGGCAATGATGGTGTGTGCAGAGCTGAGCACGGGCAGGGATCTGCTGCTCCATCAGAGCCTCTCGGTGCACCTCCAGCGTCCCCAGCTGCGCGTGGCCACCGCGGCGGTGCCCGGGCGATAAGCAGCTACACTCACACAGATAACGAAGGCAGGGAATCCGCAGCCACAGCTGACACTCTGACGGCAGCATGCATGATGCTGGTGGAAATGCTTTTAAAAGGTGATATGTGTTAAAGGTGAACTGTAAAGCTGGAGTGAAAATTATGTTAAGTTCAGAAATATGTTCTGAATCTCGCAACTATCAGGCAAGTTTTACTGGAGCTTTCAAAATTCTCTTTTCTCCTGTACAATAATCTGGCAGTTTCTCCTTTGATAAGGACATTCCCAAACATAACTTTGTGTGATATCACACATACCAGAACCTAGGATGCTAAAAAACGAGACATCCTAGAAAATTGTCCTTCAAACCAGGGTATCTCAGAGAAATGCACATAGTTTTAAAAAATATTATTTGGAGGGAAAACTGTAAACCATTCCCTAGGATTGAAAACTTTATAAATCTTGGTGGGGAGGAGGAGATGGTGGAAAATAGGTGAAGTAATTAACTAGTATATAGTTGTATTTTGTTTTGAAAGCATGTCACAGATTTTTTTTTCCCCTGCTGGAATATCAGCATCTTTAAGCAGAAGTCACAAATAAGGTAGGGCCATTTCAGGTGCAAAATTCAACCTAATGAATGCATTTTGTTTTCCTGCATATGACGGTCCTAAAGTGCTTTTTACTGCCCCATCTTTCTCACCTCCCTGTTTCACTGTTTCTTTGGTTTTTTTTCCTTTTTCTCTCTTTCCCCACTCGCTTCTGTTCACATACCTCCTTATGTTTCACCATGCACCCATCTTCCACCAGTCCCTAGCTCTCCCTGCAGTGGGGGCAGGTTTTATTTGCTTGTAGGAGAAGTCTGTGGAAGGAAAATTTCTACTCAGTTCTGAGTTAGCCCCCTTTGGAGCTCAATCATAATGTCAGGCACAATTTCACCATCTTCTTCATCTCTTCTGTTGCTGAATTTATTCTTCCTGTCTCCTTCAGCAGCATATTCCTGCGCAGTCAGAAAATCATCACTGATACACATATTTCACATTTGCCTTCATTCCTTTCCCATCTCTCTTCTGTTGCACAGAGGCACCTCAGACACTCCCCTAAACCCCATGCCCCCAATAGGTTTCTTTTCCATTTCCCTCTTCCACCTTCAATGCCTCTTTCCTACTCATCACATAAATATATGTTCTGGGGTATTTCAAAACCCAGCATTATGTGCTTGGAACACTAGTGATTTGAGGTGAAATGGAGAATAAATATAGCCAAAATATGCTTTAAAATAGGTGAATTAGTTGAGCAGGAGACTTTTAATGCCATGTGGGTGGTCAGTAAAAAAGTAACAATTACCATGAGACGGAATTTGATATACCACAGTTATTTGCTACTCTAGAGATAGAGCAGTACCATGGTAACCTAGACTCCACTGTGTGGCAAGTGTTGTTAATTGTATAGATTTTTAATGGGGATAATTGTACTTCTCTCGTCTGAAATCAATTTTAACTGGCAGTGACCAATGCCCAGAAGGATATTCTCAAAGGGATGTTCCATGACCTACAGTTTGTACACTTCATATTTCTTGCTTATAGTGATAAAATTTCACCCCATCAGCGGAAGAGTGGGGGTGATTTTTACCTTCAGATAAATTCTGATAAGAAATTAAAATATTAAAATTCAGATGGATAGATAATAATTTTTACCGTAGGTTAAGGAATGCTACATATTGATAGGCCAAGCCCAGAGAAAGGAAATGATCCTGTTTGTATTTGATAATTAATTAGATAACTTAATTTTCAAGTATTGTTATTACAGCTTCTTTCTTTAGCGTGGAATTTTTTCTGAAATATCCAGGTCTATAATTACGGTGGATGGAAATTTTATTTGGCAAAATCTACTAGCAGTGGATATTGCCTTGCCAGAATTTAACATTCAGGTCAGAAGTTCTCTGCTGTATGGCTCTGTTTCAGGTGAATATTCAAGTCTGAGAAAAAGATTAGGGAAAATATGTTGCTAACCAGTGTTTAAAAATAAATATACCTCTCAGCTGCTTCTTTAACAGCTCTTCAATATGAAAATGAGTCTCAAAAACTGGTCAAACTTTAAGGTTCTGGAAAAAACCCCAACAACATTTATTTATGCTTATTGGAGGCTTGTTATGTTTGTCAGAGTGTCCATGTTCAACCAGGTTGCACAGTTACACCATATTTTCTAAGATATGCAGCCCTATAACTTGAGCTGGACTTTGCCCCTGCTTGCTGGAGTTGGCTGGATCTCTGGATATTAATAGAGACCATCTCTCTCTCCTGGTTCTGATGTAGCCCAAAGGATATGCAGCAGGAGGAAAAAGCTTCATACAGGAAGTCACCTAAAGATGGAAAAGAAAGAGTGTAAGGAACCTGGGCATGGAAAGCTCTGAGCGGGGGGTGGTGGGCAGAGCTTGTGCTTAACAACAAAAAAAGCCACTTTAGACAGGGAGATAATAAGCACACACTTATTGGTAGGTGTACATGCTCCATCTCTGAAAATTATGGAAAAAAACTGAAAAAATTATGTTTGTCCAGAAAATGATGTATGAAATTGGCCACAAAATTTGGAAACATGGCAACATTTAGATTCTGATTAAGGAGGAACAAGTGGGTATAGTCACTATCGCCAGCTTTGAGGAGAATAACTAAATGAGCAGGAGTTGGATATCTGATTACGCAAGCGTAAGAGATATATATACCATATAGATATGGTATATATATCCCCAGCTTTGAGGAGAATAACTAAATGAGCAGGAGTTGGATATCTGATTACGCAAGCGTAAGAAATGTGACGAAAGGTGTGAATGAATGCTACCTGAAGGGAGCTAAGAAAAGGAGAAAAATATTACATGCTAAAAGGAAGAGGAAATCTCTTCCATCCACCTCTACTAAGCCTGAACAAAAATAACTAGTCCTGAGTTCTGATTTCACTGCACTGTTTAACAAAGGAACTGTAACTTCCATTCAAATCGTTTTCCAATCCATGCATAGTAACAGGTTATGCAGAAGGTAACTGCCTTCCACCACTTCTGTGTGAAGATCATAACAAACAATGCTGTTTTTGCTTGTTCAATTCCTATATTTCCAAAACACAATGGAAATGCAGCTATGAAATTTAAAGTAAGCAGTGACATTCTGAATTTCACCACTCAAAAACTGCAAAATACCTGGATTAAAGATGCTATTGATTACAATGCATCCCTGTTCCTGAGAGTGGAGTTCCAGTTTGCCTAACCAGTGTAAATGAAACATAAATTTTATGGATAAAAGCCCAATCTGGCAGAATTAATGGGAAGGTTTTCAGATTTTCTATTGATTAGATAGGGAATTTATTCACTAATTTTAACAGCCCTGTTTCAATAACTACCAAAAATTTCTGAGCAAAACAAGTACTAGGACTACATCCAAAGGACTGGGCTTCACTTCTTATCCCTTTGAAATGAAAAGCAATAATGCATGCTGAAGTGTTCACAGTTGTACACTGCTGTTCCCTCATACTGTTCATCTCCCATTCCAAAAGAAACTTTGCAGAACGACCCAGATCTCTCAGCAAGTAAGCAAAGTCACCCATCCAGTGCTCTGTGCACAAGAAATATTGCACAATATAAATGTTCTGGATAATTTTTTTTTTGTCTCACAAACTACATAGTAGAGTTTTAGAAAGTAGAGAGTAGAGTAGAAAAATGTGATGATTTTTCACATCATTGTTCTAGTTGTCCAGATGAAGAAAGGGAACTATCTCACTTTTGCTAGAAAACCATTGGCATTTTAGTGAGGATTAGTTAATTTATGCTGTAGCAACAGTCTGCAACTACACTGAGGTTCTTGAGGATAGCCTTGCAGCTAGGAGGTGAAATTCACATTGAAGGTGCATTTTCCTCATCTGATAGTTTTTATGCTTCATTATATGTTTTCTATTATAATGTGGAGTGGAGGATCACAGAATAGAAAGCTGATGCATTTTAACAGGAAATGTTTGCTTTCAAAGAAGTATACCTCTATTTACAGAAAGCCTGGGTAGAGTTTCAAAAGTATTTTTGTCCCTATAGCATCATATTATCTCTTCTATTTTTTAATTGAATCCTCATCCTGGAGGCAATAGGTGCTGAACAAACTAGACCTCCCAGGTACAACTGGAGTGTATTAAGTCTGGGCTTGAAAAATAGGAGATAGTTATTTGGTGCTCAAAGATATTTATTTTAAATCTGTGGGGGGGTTTTTGTTGCTTTGGGTTTTTTTTTTTTTGTTTTGTTTTTTTTTTCTTTTTTCTTTTTTTTTGTTGGGGCAAGGAGAAGGAGAAGTTTGCTATTATTTCCTTCCCACAGCTACTTCATGACAAGAGAGAAGCACAGGATGAAATGAATGGAAAGCAGAGAGTTGACAATATTTTTCACAGAATCTACTATAGCTGGCTAAATGCTATTAAAAAAACCCTGCCTTTGATGGAATTTGGAAATGGATTGCTATCAACCATTTTCATTTAGTGGAATTTGCAAATGGATTCCTCTCACCCATACTGTCTTCTAGTTGTGTTTGCTTTCTAGGGACATTTGTAGGATTCAATTACTATTGTGGCTGTTCACTGAGAATTTCAGAACAGCATGCATAAGTATTGATGGAAACTGGGTATTAGATTCACACACATGAGTATGTGCACACTCAATACATTGGAAAAATAAATCAACACCATGTGACTCATCAAAGCAGTCATATCTAACAAAGCTCAAGAAGTGATTGGGGAATGTTCACAGAAAAGTGTTCCTGAGCAATTAGAAGTACTTAGAGAGGAAAAAGGATCTCTTTGAATTCTTTTGCATAATAAACTCAAGGAAACCTCAGTCTGCCCATGGAGATCCCATAGGCAGAAAAAGGGCTAAACTTACTGACTAAACTATTCATTGTGAATTATTCCCTCTGCTCTAATGTCTGCACGGCATGGAAGCGTGGTGCCAGCCCTGCTACACACTGTAATTTTACTCTTATAGGAATAAAGTGGGAATATACTGCTGGGCATGTTAAAGCACTCTGCAGAGGACATTATATATATTTTCTACATGTGACCTGCCTTTGATTTTTGTGTTGAAAATGGAGTTATCTACCTTCAGAGAGAAAATATTAGCCCACAGACAGTGAAATAGGATGATATTTTTTACTTTATTTCTGTAAAGTGGTATTTGGTGCAAAAACTATATAAGACTGAAATGTAGAGTTTGAGAAGTCAGAGGTCAGCAAGGCAAAATTTGGCCAGATAGTTTTTACATTTTTGGGCTGACCATGAGTTAACAGTTACTGATTCCTTTAGCAAATTCCTGCCTAATTGTTATTTTTCCTTGATTAAATTGTCCTTTATAAGGACATCTGTTCTGTTCCTTGCCAAGGTGTAAGATACAATCATATCTTAGAATTTGTAAAGTAGTTTGGACAACACAATAATAAATCTATTCTGATGATGAATCCTACAAAGGAGACATTGTCCTTCCCCCTCCCAGCTTAGCACATCTCACTGTCAGGATATTTTTCCTAACACTGTGACTCTGCCTCTCTTCTGCTGAAGTATTTCCTATAATTCATCCCTTTTTCCAGCCAAGATCACTCCAGTTTCTGCACCTCCTTGGGACAACTGCATTGCTCCCTAATGGCAAGTTAGAACTTGCTCTGAGGACCAAGGTTTTGATGGGTGGCTGAGTACCAGGGAAAGTATTTGTTGCCACTAAGGGATCAAAAAAATTACCCCCTGAGTTACAATCTGAGCTACCCCACCCTGAATTCAGGACAGCTTAAATGCTAATTCAAAGACATGCTTTACATGAGGATAGTCACAGGAATTCCACCCCCAGGGAGGAAAACTACATTTCCAGATCTTTTCAGCATCTAGAAGTATATGACTGCTCTTCTGAGCTGTCTTGCAATGGGGCAAATTGCTGTCTGGAGAGGTAAAAAAAATCAGTTTCCATAGCCTGGGGAAAAAGTTTTCATAGCCTGGGGATGACAACTCAAATCTAGACAGCAAGATCTAAGGGGGTCTTTTAATATAACAGAGATATATTTTGTAAAGGTTGGAAAAACAGAGACTTGATTTGTAGAAATTAAATCTGGAAGAGAAACTGTGAAGAGCAGGTATGGTGCTAATAGTCTCCAGCATTGTGCCACAGAGAAATAATTCTGTACAATTGTGGAGAAACAACGGCTCAAAGAGGTCACATTTTTGCTGTCCTGGCCTTATGACCAGACATCTGGACACTGATATGAGTGGATAGTCTGAGAAAAAAGGACTGGACAGAAGGCAGCAACCAAAGATAAAGAGATAAATGCTAGGGAGCCATCAGCTTTGTGACAGTTGCTGAGACTGAATTAAATCATAGAGGAGTAAAACCCAGCAGGAGATGGGGAAGCATTGACAGATAGTGGGAAGGCAGAGAGAATACTGAAGAAATTATTGGAACACTGGAAAACAAAACAACCAAGCATGAAGTTGTGGAAACCCATGGTGGGGAAAGGGAGAGTTGTGGGAGATGGGATGATTTGCTCTCATCTTCTAAGGGCTCCACATTCCCATGAATGCTTATAGCTTTGCATAAATTCACACGCAAAACATAAGGAGCAGATTAAGCTGAACTGGAAAGGAACCACATTGTGGGGATGTAATAATTAAAGTCAGTTGCCGGGCAGCTGAAGTGTAGGGGAGATTGATTATAAATAGACAGAGATAGGTTTGCTGAAGTGGCTAACGTGACAGTGGTCCTGAGGGAATGGACAGCAGCTGCAGGCAAGTCCGGGACAGGGAAGGTACTAGTCCTCTTGCCCCACTCATCACAGGCAATAGCCCCAGCCCACTTGTGAATCTCAAAACAGAAAGGAGGGAGTGAAAAAGCCATAAACTGTGTACCCTCTGAAGACAAAATAATCTGTGGCTGTGTACATTGTTTGTGATATTGAGAATGACATCCTGACTCACACTCCTTAGCAGCTTTATCAGTATAACCATCAGGGCTTTGGCCATTATAGGGTAAAGCTAGCATCACCCTGGGTAGCATCAGAAGAGACTGCTACCAGGAGGACCACCACTATTATTACTAGCTGCAATAAAAAAAGCACTTCTTAAAATGTTTTTTCTACCTAATTGTCAAAACTGAATAATATTATCAGCTTTTTTATCCTTTGAGTATTTTTCTAATAAGAAAGCGCAGAGATGCACTGCAAATAAAAGCAGAAGATTCGAGGATGCAAAGCAATCATGCAAAATGACTTTCATATCAGTTTGATAAGCAGCTGAAATTTAATAACTACATCTCTCCTATGGTGCTGGATGAAAGTTTAATACTTTATGCTTTTGCTTCTTTCTTCCGCACGATGCTTATTCAGAATCATAACTTTTCCTTTTATAGTCACAGCAATGCTTAGGTGCGGTGGATTAATCGAAGCCTTACGAGACTCCAGTACAGTCCAGACTATAGTGACTTATAATCAAACCCTAGGAGAAGACTGTCAGGGGTCATAAGGGAAATGAGCAGAGATCCAAATGTAAAAGTAATATTTACTGAGGATAATGCACACAGATCTTACTGCCCCAGTAGGCAAGATGGAAGGCCAGTCTTTTACAGCCCAGTTCCAAGAGATGCTGGATGCAGGAGAGGCAAAAGAAAGAGGAAGGTAAAAATGCTTCAGAATTTGGCCCTCAGATTTGGGCTCAAAATGTGATTCAAAACTCCAGGAATGTGAGGCAAGGAAAATTAAGATACTAAATCGATAAAATTCAGCTACCAATAAATAATTACAACACTGGAGGAAAAAAACCCAAAAAAACAAAAACCACCCAAAACAAACAAACAAACAAAAAACCCCCAAGCAAAACAAAACACTAAAGTCCCCCAAAACCCAGCACCCTCCCTTCTCATCTGCAAAACCGTGCTGGCAGCACTCAGTGCAGAGGCTTTTCTACCTATAGGTGACAGAGCCCCCAGCCCGGTGTCAACTGCCCTACCTTGTAAAGCAGCATGGGGCTAAAACAGCTGCACCTCAGAGCCCTGCCCGACAGGCTTTTCCGCTGTAAACTTGGGATGGGAAGGGTCACATGGACACAGGGTCATGGCCAGGCGGGCGTGGGTCAGGAGGAATCAGGGAGCCAGGTGAGGGGACGTGGGCAGTGGCAGGGTTCTGCCAGATACGGACAGGGGCCGGGAAAGGAGGCAGACGGGCTGGGGCAGGGACAAGGACAGGGCTGGGGCAGGAGCTGGGGCAAGGACAAGGGCAGAAGCAGGGGCAGGAGCTGGAGCAGTGGCAGGGGCAAGTGCAAAGACAGTGACACGGACAATGGCAGAGGCAAGGGTAGGGGCAGGGACAAGGGCAGAGGCAGGAGCTGGGGCAGTGGCGGCGACAAGGGCAGGGGCAGGACAAAGGCAGGGAGAGGGGCAGAGGCAGGAGCTGGGGTAGGGGCAGGAGCTGGGGCAGTGGCAGGGGCAGGGACAAGGGCAGGGGCAGGAGCTGGGGCAGTGGCACAGACAAGGGCAGGGGCAGGGACAAGGGCAGGGGCACACGGACAAGGGCAGGGACAAGGGCAGGGGCACGGGCGAGGTGCCGCCTGCTCCGCTGCAGCAGCGCCCCCTTCTGCCGGCTGCCGAGGCCGCAGCCGCGCTCGGCGCCGCGGGCAGCTGCGCATCCCTCGCATCCCTCGCATCCCGCGGGCTGGGAGGGAGGCTCGAGACACAGGGGAAATGTAGAGCGTGGCTGGGAATTAGAAAAAAGGACTTAAAAATCAAAAAAACTAGAAGACAGTCGTTTGCAGGCAGATGCTAAGAAGTCTCCGGATTCACTGGTGGACGGGTGCGTGGCTTCAGTTTCCAGCCTGTGTGTGCTGCAAAAACAGATAATAAAAAGAATACAAATGAAAGAACATCTGATGTAGTCATCAGATCTAACTACAGCACTTTAATATGAATTGGAGCTCCAGATGTTGTCTTAAGAAAATGAATCAATTAGACAAATGAGGAATTTCTTCCTAAATCATATCAGGAGAAAAAGTCCAGTAGCTGCAGACTATTGTATAAATGTCCTAATGGCTTTCATTCTTCTCATATACCTGTCAGCTTTACTACAAGGCTTCTCATCGTTTAAGTTGTTGTTTACCTTCCTGAATACTGGTTTGATTTGAAAAAGTGTTCTAAATGTTCAACACCTTTTACCCTGAAAATAATAATACATCAGCCTTTAGGAGTTGAACCCAGCAGAAACTGGTGTCACTATTCATAAAATAATTGAGTTTACACAAAAAGTGATTTCTGTAATAGCCCCCTTTTTACAAGTATGTACATTTTATTTAAAATTACTGACTCAAAAAGCAAGGTAGGAAAAAATCACCTCCAACAACTTCCTGTAATTGCGAATTATTGTGAGGGAAACAGAAGGAAAAGATTTTGAAATTATGAGCCATTATGCTTGAGAGAGAGAGGGAGTAAGTGAGAGAGAGGGAGAGGGAGAGAGAGAGGCAGTGGGAAAAAAAGACATCTCGGCTTCATGAAACACAGCTGACAAGCTCGACTAAATTACCCCCGGACCATTACAAAAATCACTTAATTGCCAACCATTTTGTTAGGTCAATTGACTCTAATTGAAAAAATAACAAAAAGCTTATTATGCTGCAAATGCGGCCGTGGAAAATGAGTCTTCTGTTAGGAGGAAACAATAATTCTAAATTTCAGCTGCTGCTAACACTACAAAGTTCAGTGTTTTCTTCTGATAGAATCTACTGTGCAGAGGAAAGTGAATATGCTCCAACTGATTGATATTTCTTTTAATGCTGCCCCCTCTTCCTTCTTCTTGCTCACAGCCCCTTCAGTCGACCCACCCACCCTGCTCAGTTTTTATTTCCCTTGTTGCCTCATGGCTCTTTTCCGTGGCAGGGTTGATGTCAGTTTTTGTTCCTAAGGCATTTGTGGTTTGGGGGTGTGTGAGGTTGCTGTGACTCCTCTTTTCAGCTTGTTCACAATAACCTCAAAACCCAGGTGAGGGGTTAGGAGAAGCACCTTGCTAAATCCTCCTGGTCCCCTTCACTTTCCTCTTTTCCTTGCACACTGTAATTTTCTTTAAAGCCTGATAAGAGAGAATTGTTTACATATTTTCACAAAAAAATACCTTAGAAAGAGCCTCCCCAATGTAAATTAAAAAGCACAAACCCTGACTGGTAAATAGGATTCTAATTATTTATAATGATCAAATTTTTAGGAGTGTGTGCATGAGTTTGTTCATTTCTAAAGAAGATAAACTGTCTGGAGCTCCACTATTGTCCCAAATGCAGATTTGAATACTGGAGGTTCATAATGGGATTGATTCTGCTCTGTGAAAAGTAATTATTTGTCCATAAAACCAGGAGGCTGCAGAAATGAACTCGGATGGCAACAGCCTTTTGTTCGGCTCCTTTAGAGTGAAGAGGTAGGGAATGGAAGAAACTTCTCAGTAGCCACAGTGCATGATTAAATATTTCCATAATCATGTCTATATGTTTACTTCTTGCACTGTGTTCAGAATATTTTTTTCTGATTTTATCATTTCAGGGAAACTGCCTGACTGCATTGCACTTTTACAAGGCCCAAAACTCGTGAGCCAACTAAATGGTGAACAAAAACCTATGTAATACAGCAGCATGTTCCTTCACAGTATTTTAGAAAAAGGAAAAAAAAAATAAGGCAAAAAACTTTGTGTATGTGTATGTTTTTGCTTTGCCTTTTATAGCTACAGTAGATCTTCCAGTGCTTTTACAAAGCAGTGAGTTAAATACTGGTGGCGTGGTGCCTGTGTAGGCAAACGGCACAGCCATTAGTGCTCAGCATACGTTTTTATTGTTTCTTTATATAGAACCCAATATCACTTACACAGAGGGGGATACAACAAATATATCAGACCATGAAGCACACATATGTGCTGTTTCTTTCTGAGCATCCGCAGCTGTATATAATCAACGGAACATTCCTTTGGAGTGCACCACAGGTCAGCAGGAACCTTGACACACAGCTGAATTTATGAGTGATCACATTGTTTTAAATATGCATCACTTAGATTTCTACAGGTGTTTAAAGATTTGCCTCAACATTCCATTTTTTCCCTTTTTTTTGTTCCTTTTGTGAAAGGCGTGCACATGGAAAACAGAGATTGTATAATTAAGGCTTCCATTTGGATGCTAAAATTGATATAATTCACCATAACTGACAACAGAGAATATTATATCATCTCCAAGAAAAAAACCCACTCAAAATCCTAAAAAAAAAAAAAACCAAACAAACTTGCATGAGTGACATATTGCTTCTAATCAGGGACCAGAAAATCTCAAAATTCACCAAGCCTTGCTGAATGTGGGGGAAATTAGGAAAAAAAATCTATTTTTATACTTCAAAATACATGTCAGTAATTTTGTCTAAAAGTATAAATCAAAAATAAAAATAAACAACACATTAGAGAAACCCTGTTTGAAACATGTGACTTAAAATAAAACAAGCATTATTAATTATCTGCTTCCTTTATAGTAGGAAAGATATAAAATTAAATAGATAAAATCTTAAGAGAAACCAATGTGCGTGTATTGAGAAAAGACAATGAAGCTTCACAGACCGAATAGAACCAATTCCTTTCAAATAAGCGGGAAAGCCCTACAGAGAGAAATAAAAGTGAGGAATGGTGAATTCTGTAACACTTGCCAGACCAATGAGCTTCATCAATTAATCACAGCAAAATAATCACCACCTACATTAAAGAATAATACATGAAAAGGACAGGGCATAGCTTTAACTTATTCAGAAAGGGCTGACTCCCTAATCCCTCTGAGTCTTGACATGTTAACTGGGTAGCGACTAATTAGATGTCAAAAATTCATAAGCACTCTTTAATATTGCATATATCTGCGGCAGACATTTCAATATGAGAGTTGTATACACAGAAGTCACTATAGCATTAAAACACAGCAGGGTGGGAGAAATAAAAGGAAAACAATAAAAACAATGGCCCTTAAAAACCCAAGAGAATGCCTCCTTTGGAAGTGTGTACTTTCTTATTCAGAAAAGGTATCACCTTAATAAGAATTATAGGCAAAGAGGTTTCACTGTTCCATGCTGTGTGGACGAAAAGAGGGAGAAAAGACTGACTTATCAAAGGCACTGGCAGGTAAATAGTAATTTACTATGCATGCACAATGAACATTACACAGTGCCTTGACACAGGGCGATAATGAAAGACATGCTATTGTGGCATCCATCGAGGGAATTTTTTTTCTTCATTCTTCCTTCCCTTGTCTCTCTTGAGTAAAGAAGCAGTGATGTTTCCTGGCAGCTGCCTCCTGTTTCAAGCCATTTCACATAATATAGAAAGAAGCTGAAGTTTAGTGTATTAAGTAAGTGAGTTAGTTTGCTGGTTTGGCGATACATACATTGCTTGTGTGTGAACTTATATTTCAGATGCAGGGCTCTGTATTTTTACAGAACAAGCCTTTTCCTGTCTGAAGAATTATATGAACCTCTTATATGCAACAAGGCAGCAAGATTAAAAACAATGCATCATATAATACACTGTTTTATGACTTGCATCCTTTAATTGTAGCTCTCAGGAATAAGAAGAGAGCAATGTGCTCTTGTTTATATGCAGAATTGCCATTCTCTCTTTTGACTAACAATGTGTACTGTACAGGGCTAGTAGTCTGTGGAGATTCCTGTATTTTCTCCTTTACCAACCAGCAAAGTTAAATTTCACTTCTTCAATGCTTCTAACTAGCTCACAGGCAGCAAGCCTTTGAATTTAGCCTGCATGCAATATGGGAGGCTGTGACTGTAATCCTCCCATAGCTGCTGCTGTTTAAATGTGACATGGCTGAAATGGGAACGTTTTAATTATTTTAAAAGTGTAAAATCACGTAACGTGATGATATTAGGTAAGCAGCCTCATGCAGAGAAAAAATTATAACATTTGTATATCTCATGGGACTAGCATCTAAAGAGACAATGTGGCTCTCCATGTATGTTACAGTGTGTGTAATAATGATATTTGCATGTATCAGCTGATTAGTACTTTAATAAGCTGACATCTCACACTGTGATGGCAACTTCTGGACTGGTGTAGTACAAGAATAAGAAAAAGATGCACTTTAATGACTGCTGACCATGTTAGACTGAATGGTCACGTGTTCAGTTATACCTGGCCTTTCCTTTGAAAGTTGCTACAAGAATTTTGTTTCCAAAAGACTTTCTATGATCAGCATTGCAACTGTAATTAACTGCTTGCATTTGTCATTATTGCACTATTCACACCTTTTTCGGCCTTTCCTTTGAAAGTTGCTACATGAATTTTGTTTCCAAAGACCTTCTATGATCAGCACTGCAACTGTAATTAACTGCTTGCATTTGTCATTATTGCACT